GTGTCGCGTGCGTAGGCCTCGCTGAGATTCAGGGCCTCAGCGAAGGTCCACTGGCCATCGCCATCCAGATCCAGGCGCGCGAAGCTGCTGCTGAGGAGAACCTGCTCGGCGTGAGGGTTTTTGCGGACTTTGGGACTTCAGGTCCCTGGGTGTTGTTGGAGCGGCTGCTGGGCCTGGGACGTGGGCCTGGCAATCGTTCGGAGCCTTCCTTGTTAAGATCCCAGGAGAGAGCCGTCCTTTAGGCTGTAGGTGTTTATGTTGTGGAGCTTCGGGTTGTAGAGTATAGGCTGTGGGGTCAGTTTCAACCCTGCATCCTAAGTTTGAGGGTTCAGGGTTAGGGAGCAGGACCGAAGTAACATCAGATGCTAGAAGCTTAGGTTTAAGGCTTTAGGGCCTCAGGGCCGGAATACTATCATGGCTCTTGTGCTGGCAGCATCAGCACTTAGTAGGACTGCCAATGACCATGTTCTGACTGACTCCTCCATGTGCACAGACACACAAAGATGCACAGACGGATAGAAAGATAGATTCTGATCGTGTTAAAGCTCGTACTGCACCTGGCTTAGAGGCAGGCATCGCCATCAAAAGCCGAAATCCCGAAACCCTACACCCCAACACCCTACATCCCTTTGCACCCTGTCGACCTCGTCAGGAGTGCAGGAAAGGCTGCTGTTGTGCATCCAGCAAACACCGGGTGACTCCAGGGTACCTCTGCGGTCTCCGCTTTGGGCTTCCGGTTAGTCTCGTGGCCCAAACCGAAAGATCAGCCCACCCCTTCCCCAAACCATACCACATATGCCACATGTAGAAGCTGCAAGCCTAAACCCTAAACCCTAAACCTCGTGCCAGCGACTCGAAGTCTGCTGCTTTGGTTGCTGAGCGAGTTTGCAATGGTTTTGCAATACTTCGATCAGTTCGATTGCAATCCTTCCTTTAAGTTGGAGCCTCGGTACAGTAGCGCAATCGTCTCTGCCACGCTCTGACATACAGAAGGTGGAACTTAGACCCTAAATCCCAGCGGTGATTTATTCGTGCCGGCTAGCAAGAACAAGCTCAGAGTGCAACAGCCACGAGGAAAACTGGCGTGAGTCCGATCGAATCTCGTTGCGGATGCTCTTGAACATTAACAAAGTCAGGGGCTGTTATCTGACATAGGGTAAGTAACATATCATGAGTGGTACAGTATCGAGCCCGTGGCTGAAAAAGCACAGATGGATCTTTGAGCGCTCTATAAATCCCAGGGCCCAACACCAACAGCCTGGACCCGAGACCTGAAGCCCAAAAGCCCTAAACCTCGCCGCCCCAAAATAGCTGGCGAAGCGACCAGACTCTCCGAACAGCAGCGCCATTCGCTCGCCGCGATAGCCGCGAGTCTGTCCTTGCTTTCCCAGAAACCCGGAACCCGAACCCTAAACCATAGACCACTAGGGAGTGCTTAGCCCTCAACCCCTTTGGCCCAAGCTCCAAAGGTGTCCTTGCAAGCGAAGAGCTAGGACCCCCCCCCCTCCCGCAAGTCTCATACAAACCCCAAACCCTCCCCCTCAAAGCGAAGGCACTCCAGAGAAGGTACACCACGGCGGTTTGCACAAAGAAGTTCAGCAAGAGGAGAATCAATCCCTGGTCCAGGGCTTTGGGCTTAGAGGGCTTAAGTTTTCGGGCGCTAAGGGTTTAGAGCAGAGACGGTTTCGGGGAGATGGCATTTCCTAAAGCCTTCCTGGAAGGAACATTTCGGTGACGAGAACAGTACCGCAAGAAGCCAAAACCTTGAAACTCCCTGGCACTCCGATTGTGTGGGGCTTTTTCACTGGGTCCTTTCCAATCATCCGCTTGGTGATGAGCTGCATCAAGAAAGCATTGTCATAGGCAGACTTCGAAAGGGGCAGCGTCCTGCGAAGAAGTGGAGCCCTGACGAATGATCTCCTACTATAGGGCCCATAACACTTGGAATGGGGTGCTGGGGTATATTTGCATAAAAAGTTGGACTTCGGAACCCTCAGGAATAGTCTTGATAATCATTTGGCTCCCAGCTTACCAAGACTTGAAACCATCTAAAAGTTATGGAGGCTGAAGAAATGCAGCATGCAGGGCCTGCTTTGGGTTCACTGGTTCAGCCCTGGAAACACATGCAAAGGCTGCTTGGCTCAGAGTAAAGCATCACGTTTCAAACAGGCTCAGTCGAATCACAAGCTGTTGAAAACGTCAAAACCCCCTCATAACATCCTAGTACGACCTTCATAAGATTCCGTCGAGTCAACCTTCACAACGCAACCCGGCCTGTACCCCGACACCTCGCGGAAGGTCGCCGTTCCCAGCATCGACCGTCTGGTAAACCGTGTCGTCATGTGACCTGCTTTGGGGATTTTCGCATTATGCGGCATTATCGGGCTTATAGAGTTTTGGCTCCAGGGGGCTCTCAGATCCATCCATCCATCCCTCCCTCCATTCAGTTTACGGTTTAGGGCTTAATCCGTCTATCCTGAAACCCTGACCCCTGGCGGTGCCTGACTTTTTCGTCAGTACAGTCATCGGAGAAGCGCTCCGACAAAAGAGATTTAAAAATACAACATGAGCCCTTAGAGCCCTCATCATCCCCCTTGTCCGACGTGACCGAAAATCCCGGGCCGCTTTTGGAGTGCCTCCTGGGCCCTGAGATTCCTCTACGCTTTCTTGGCTTTAACACAACCCTAACAAAATCCCTCCTTCAGGGGATCAAGTTTTGGGTCCTTGCCAACCCAAAAACTTCCTCTCAATGCCCTAAACCCCAAACTCTAAACCCTAAACTAAACCCTAAACCTTAAACCCTAAACCCCAAACCCTAAACCCTGCACCCCAAACCCTAAACCCCCAAACCCCCAAACCCTAATTCCCCAAAGTCCCCCAAAGGGGCCCACAGCGGCGGCCTCCGGAAAGCACCGAGGCCTTCGAGACCTTGGAGGCTTTGGAGGCGCGGGAGGCCGCAGCCGGCTCGGCGGGCTCTCCATCCACCTCGTGGGTTTAGGGTTTAGGGGTTTGGGGCTTTAGGGTTTAGGGTTTAGGGGGGGCTGAGAGGGCTTTTGGGGTTTGGAGCTGTTTCTAGGCTTTAAGGCTTAGGGGAGGGTTTTGGGGCTCTCAATCCACCTCTCGGGGGGGGCTGAGAGGGCTTTTGGCATTTAGTGGTTGTTTAGGGTTTAAGGCTTACGGGAGGGTTTTGGGGCTCGCCATCCACCTTTTGGGGGCTTAAGGGCTTAGGGTTTAGGGTGTAGGGCCAAAAAAGTTTGGGTTTGTAGGGTTTGGGGCTTAAGGATGTCCACCTCTTGAAGGTTTAGGGCTTAGGGTTGGGGGTTTCAGGCTTACTATTTAGGGGGTTTTTGTGGGTTTAAGGAATTACGGGGCTGAGGGCTGTCAGGTTGTAAGGCTCCAGGTTTGGAGTCGAGGGTTTCTGCGTTTCCGGTTGGGGCTCCGCTTCTTCGGTTTAGGAGTTCGGGTATCGGTTCTGGAGTCTCGAGGGCTTTCAGGCTGGAGCCTCGTTTTTGTTTGGTTTTGGGCTTTAGGTTGAGCCTTGTTGTGTTGCTTAGTGGTGAGGGCGTATCTCCTGGGGGAGGTGACGAGCTCTCCAAGAGGTACTACGAGAAGTATTCTGGGAGTTGGGTATGGGGGCCTTGATGGTTCTTGTTAAGGGTACCTTTAAAGAGTTCTGTAGTGGCTCTCTCGGGTATGCATTTTTGGAGCTTAGGGGGCCGTGTGAAATCTAGATTCATGCTCGATGGATGTGGGGCTTGTGGTTCAACAGTTTGGGGTTCGGGAATTTGTGGTTTAAGGTTTAGGGCTTTGGGTTTATGGCTTAGAGACAGCGACATCTCTTCGGGTTGTGACTGGTAGGTGCTCAACACAACACGTAAACATCAGGGACCCTACCACCCTACACCCTGAACCCTGAACCCTTAACCAAAACCCTCTATACCGTTAATCCTCGGGATCTATCTGAATCTGAGGGGTCATGCAGGGGGGAAATTCGTAACTCTAGGAAGTTGCGAGATCCGTCTGGCTGGTTTTGGGTCTGGGTGGTTGTCCAATAGCAGGGACTTCAGGGGTTCCCAAACTGTAGGATGCCATCTTTGACAGTTACAACAGATCCCTGAATCTTCCGCAAACCCGAAACCCTAAAGCCTAGACCCCAACTCCTAAACTCGAAACACCCCAACACCCCCGAAGCAAAAGGAGAACTTCTTGCTGATTGCCCCGTCTGCCCCACGTTCACTTCGAAGACCACGGTATCAGGCTGGTCGTGATCCGCATCATCCGCCGTTTCCATGAGGCACAGGTGGCCCAGCAAGTCACAGGCCCACTTAAAGTCTTAGAGCTTAGGGGGTTGTAATGGCGTTGGCTTTTGGAGGCTGCGTCAAGCAGTTCAGCGTTCGGAGATATGATGCAGGGTTGAGGGTTGAGGGGTGTAGCAGGGCTTGTTTCAGCTCCCTGGTCCCAACAACATGGCCGAGGGTGTCGGAACTAGCTTGATCCGAATGAAAGCCCCGAACCCAAGGACCTCTGTGAAGAGCGCAAGGAGGTTCAGGAGTGAGGGGCGAAAGGATGCATTCCCGTTCATGGCTTAGGGTTCTACCGTTCGGTGCTGGTGTAAGCAACTCTTCAACTGAGAGTGACCAGGCAGTGTTTCAGTCGAGCGGCGCCATGCGACCTGTACATGTTCGCAGGACCTGCGTCTGAGTCTAAGCGTTGATTCCTGAAGAATCGGTCTGAGTCTGATGAGCATGTCTCGGACAAAATCATCAACAAATGGTGTTTAGCATAAACCCCCGCTGCTGCTGCTGCTGCTGCTGCTGCTGCTGCTGCTGCTGCTGCTGCTGCTGCTCTTTACGACTTGGGATTCTTGCAGTCTGTGGAATCATTCCCAGGAACCAGCAACTGCATGAGTCCAGAGCACTGCTCTACTGCAAAGAGTCGGAGACCACCCAAGTTTCCTTGCAAGGAAACCATCTGCAGAGGAGGGTACCGAATCTTGGCATCTAGAAAACTGTGACCAAGGCTTTCAGATTGCCAACTGCCTTGTCCAGAGCTGCAGCGAGTCGGTCTCCCAGGCTCTGGGTCATATCTCCAGTGGCCGCCCCTGCATCTCTCGCAAGGCCCTCGAGCCATGGCTTGAAGCTGCCGACTTGATGGCCTACGCTATCAGCGGTGAGAGCTGCCTTGTGGACTCCAACGTTGCAGATTTGCCAGGCCAGCACATAAACTGACAGAGCTAGGAGCATGTTCCCGAAGACACCCTGCAGGCTGTCGAAAGGCCACACCTTAAGCAGAATGCCATAGGTGCAGAGCGCAACTGCCAGAGCAACGGGCTGACGCTTCAGCCCTTCGTAGAAGAGGAAGGCCTGAAGTTCCCAGACTCGGAAGTCGGGGTGGGCATTTTAAATGGATTTAGGGCCTTCAGGGCTTAGGGAAGTTCAGGGGTTTTGGGATTAAAGGGCCTAGGGTAATGTGGCACGAAGTACAGTACATCTATCTCTTGGAACAGCCAAACTGAAGGAGCGTGCAGGTAAAACTTATCCCGTCGGCTCCCTTTCCCGTTCGGCCCACTCCAGCCTTATCGACGACCGATGCTGTGCAGAAGGTCTCCATGGAAGCACGAGCCATGGCCCGAAAGCTGGGCTTCACCGGCGGGGCATCTTCTGACTGGTGACTCGCGAGGTCGCTCTTCCGTAAGGTGATGATGCTGCTTCCAGGACCTGGGGGTTTCCGAAAATAAGGACCCCAAAATAAGGAACCTTAATTTTCGGAAGGTCCCACCTCTCTCGAGCTCTCGCAGATGCTTCTGCACTTGATCCCAGGCCTGCACGAAACCTTCGATAGGCTCGCGAGTGCTCGGGGCCAGGTCCGATGGAAGCATCTTATTTTCTACCAACACGGATAAGACGCCCCTGAAGTTGGTGATGACGCTCCATTGAGACGGGGGCTTTGGGAAGTCGTCAGTTGGCTGTGTCGCAGGCCGGTCAAGCATGTCCACCAGATCTCGATCCGCTTGCTCCAGAGCATCTTTCTCCGTCATGATCAAGGCCGCTAGGTTTGTTGGAGAGTCAGCGCAGGTGAAAGAACAAATCTTTGTCTCACACTCCTCGAGCTGTGCTGCTAAACTGTCTACCTGCCGCTCCAATGATGCAACCTGTTGCCCGGTCTCGTCCGTGTCTTTCTCTGGGCGATAGAAGCTCACAGTGACGTCCAAGTTTACGCCGGGAGTTGAAGTGAAGTCAACGTTAAGCACGCCTTTAGCTGGCTCTTCTATCCGAACTTCTCCTTTGTAGTCTCCACCTTTGATCTCATACCTGGAGAACCACGCAGCTCTATAGTCAAGCGTCTCGCGAGCAGACTGCTTTCCCCATCCCCAACCTCCTCCAAAGAGGCATAATACCCACCAGCCAGAGGTCGGGTATGACTTTTTCACTTCTCTGGTGGCAATCACTCTGGGGGACTCGGAAACTTTCAGTCTTGCGATCCTTCTCTGAGCATCACTCTTCTGCAGAACAATCCCTTCCTTCTTCTCACGAAGCGCAGAGAGCATGTCGCGTTGAACCGACTGCCAGTCACTGTCAATGGCCTGACAATCAAGCGCAGACGTGGCAAGACACACAGACACACACAAACAAACAAACAAACAAACAAACAAACAAACACCCGCAGACCACCACGTCACCATGACTAAATGCATGAGCACTCCAAACAACACCTGTGGACAGTCGACGATGTGATGTGCCGTTCTTCTGGAATGCGATTAACACCTTGGACACAAGAATGTCCCAGCCATCCGATCTCTGCCTGCAGCCTCTCCTTATGCTTCTCCTTGAGGTGCACAAGCCTCTGCAGATGGTCTGCTCTCTGATGCAAGACCTCGGTGTAGCTTTTCCCATCCAGGCGGCTGTCCGGCTCGGTTGCCAGCTTCGCGAAGATTTGCAGCACCTCCGCACAGCAGGGCAGGGAACCCGCCCATCGCTTGAAACAAACTTGCAGGGGCGAAGTCCCGAGGGTTTCCCCGCTTCCGTTATAGGATTGCATGTTCGCAAGAAACGTGGATCTGATGTTAAAAAAAGAGGAGAAAATAAAAAGCGAATCGAAAGTCCTTCTTTCGACCGACCTCCAGATTTCCGGTTGGTCGTCAATCTCCCCCAGCACGCGTCTGGTGATCGGTTTCGAAGCTTCAATCATTTTCTGCACGGCCACGCGCTGTCTGTCTGACTTCTCTGGTGTATCTGGGAAGCACACGTGAACACGACCGGTTGCTTCGGATAGTGTTTCCAAGAAGGTCAGAAGGGCAGTGTGTTCCGCAAAACCCGGATCATCAACAATGGCCTGAGCATCGACATCTGTGCGACGTTGACAGAAAACCTTGAACAGCTGTTTCTGCTCGGAAAACTGTGTCTTGGCGATCTGGATAATACTCTGTGCTTCAACCCGCTCTCCATCCTCATATGCATTGGTGAACAGGAAGATCATGGAGTCGTAGAAATGCTTCGAGGCTTGTCCACTGCCCGTTATAGGGAGCAAGGATCTCGCCATTGCACGGACGCCGTGGCCCCGTTCTGCCACCAAGGTGCGGAAATCCATGACCAAAATCACCTCGAAAGGTCAACCCGAGAATAAAATATGAGCAATCACACGGGAAGCCATCACAAAACAACAAAATGTGCCGGTGTGTTCTGTTAACTTTGCGCAACTAGGACACCGATGTGATTTTGGGCAAGAGGGAGAAGCTTGTAGCCAAACTCCACTGGGTCCACGCGCGATGCGTCCCTGTACGATCTTCATTCAGACCCGCCGTGTCCAGATAGGTGTAGCCGCCAAACCTCTCTTCCGCAATGTACAAACCCATGTTGAGGGTCTTCGAGGTGTAGCCATCCGCGGTCTGTGGCCTTCTGTTGTCTGCCTGCACGCATCTGTAAACCTTCTTCAATCTCCCATGCACCTGCAAACTCGCACGGCTCGCGACCGTTCCGCGATGTATCCAACGAGTTGCATAATACACGCAAACCTACAACTGTCAACCTCTTGACTCTTGCAGGTTCATCCCGAAAAGGGACATCCAACAATAAAGGATTACTATGGTTTCTGATCTATTCCAGTTTGACCCATGCCCGTTGCTCCACCTCCTCCTTCACTGCTTCGTACTTGGCACCCGTCTGGATGGCGATGGTGGTGCTCTTTCCCGCACCCATCGGCCCCACCACCAGCACGGCCGAGGCTGTGCTATCTACCATCTTCCTGAAGCTGTTGCCATTGATCATCACCTGGCGGTTTCGGCCAAACCCAACATGTTTGTCAGTCGGAGTCATCGTTAAACCGAAAATTGTGAAACATAACCCAACCGTTGGGCAGCGAAACTGCGCCTTCCAAAGATCCAGATCCACGTTGGACCAAGCCATGGCGCCGAAGGTTCAGGTCGAAGAACGCCTTCAATCACTACATTCAAGTGCAGAATCGGTTCAGGATGTAGGCTTTAGGGGCGACTCTGAGATGCATATAAAGCCTAACTCGGGGAAGCATCGAATATTGAGAGGCGCGCAGAGGCGCCCAAGCCCAGAGGATCCTGTTCTCTCCGCTCTCTAAACTGGGGTCCCTTGTAAATTTTAGGGTCCTTTCTATACGGGTGCCGTGCTTTAGCTGGCGCCCATGTATTTTGGTGCCACTCGATTTCTGTCGGATGAATTTTACGCACCTGGCTGCACGAAGAGCTGACCCCACAGGCTAAACCCTAAACCCTAAACTCTAGCCCTAAACCCTGAACCCTAAACCCTAAACCCTAAGCCGTCTAAACCCTAAATCCTAAACCGGGTGGGGCGTAGGCTTTTCGGGGGGGTTTACGTCTTGGGGCCTCGGGGCTTTCCGGCTTCGAAGCTGGGGCCTTGGCTTGACAGCTTGGGGGGCGCTTTAAGGGTTTAGGGGTTTTTTTTTGAGCACCTTTTTCCATCTTGCCAATCCAGGGTTTAGGGTTTAGGGTAGGGGGATTTTGAGGACTTCTGGTCTTCAGGCTAATTGGGGCCTTTAGAGCTTTGGGGGATTTTTGGGAGCTGGCTCTTGAACCCTAAACCCTCAACCCTAAACCCTAGCCCTAAACCCTAAACCCTCAACCCTAAACCATATGAACCCTGAAAAACCCTAAAAACCCTAAAAGCACGAAACCCTAAACCCTACACCCGAAACCCAAGACCCGAAAAACCCTAACAACCCTAAACCCTGAACCCTAAAAACCCTTAAAAACTCTAAAAACCCCTTAAAACTCGAAAAACCCGAAAACCCCTACAAACCCCATAAACCCTATAAACCCTTTTCTCGCAGATTGAGATCTCGGGGCCTCGCGGGCACTGCTCGGACCTTGTGCTCGGTGAAACGTGAGACGCCGACTCCCTAAGAAACTCCGGTGTTCCTTTCTGGGCTCTAAGGGTCTTTAGGGCTCTTCGGGTCTTGGGCTTAGGGTTGTAGGGCTTAGGGCTCTTAGAGTCTTGGGTTTAGGGTTTAGGGCATACGGTTCCTTGTAGGGCTCTTAGGGTCTTAGAGGGTTGAGGGTCTACGCTTGAGGTTTAGGGTTGAGGACATAGGGTTTAGATGGTGTAGGGTGTAGTTTTCTAGTAGTCGGGTTTAGGGTTTCGGGCATATGGTCCTTGTAGTGCTCGTAAGGTCTTCGGATTTAGGGTCTATACCGGAGGGTTTAGTAGTGGGGTTTAGGGTTTAGGGCATAGGGCTTTGATGGTTTAGGGCTTCGGGTTTCTGGGGCTTAAAGTTTGATCCTTTGGTTCTGTGGATATTGAACCTACTGCTCTTCTTATTTGGGCGGTTGGGAGCTGCGAAGATGGATCCCGTTGTGTTATGGATATTGAACCCGTCGTTTCTCAATCGAGCTCGCAGCATGGCCCTTGACTATTTTTACCTTCCCTTCTTGAAAGATCTCACGAGAGGTGGGAAGGTTCTCAGTCAAGTTCCTCACTTGTAGGAACCGAAAAACAAAGCACCGAAACAAAGACCAGAAGGCCTAAACCCCCAACTCCCTAAACGCCAAACTCCCTAAACCTTAAACTCCCTTAAGCCCTGTGAAGCTTATGTTTCGCTGCTTTGGCTCCTCATTTGGATTTGGGTGGCTCGTCCAGCTCCAGCTTTTTGGCCTCTCTTTGGGGACCCCAAGCCTGCCGCAGCCTGGCCTCGCCCTCCGGGTTCTCCGAGATACCTCAAGATTTAGGCTTTGTATGAAGACCCTATAAAAACCTCCGAAGCCCAAATAAAGAGGCTTAGGGGGCTCATCCAAGCCCTAAACTCCTAAACCTTCAACCCCAAGCCTTCATGGATTGGTTTGGGGGGCTGTTTTTTGCGGGGGGGAGGAGGAGGAAGGTTAGGGCAGGGATTTTTGGGGCTCAGGTCTGGGGGGCTTCGGGGTTTATGGACTGGGACGCCTCAACTTCCCCCTCAACTCCTGAGCCCTCAGTCCAGGCCCCCCCCAACAAGAGCTCTACCGAGATGCCAGAAAAAAGAAGCTACGGTACCCCAAGAACTAAGTCCTCCCTTCCAGGGTCGAGGATTGTGAGCCAAACTGGCTTTTAGGGTTGTCTTGCCAACCTAGGCTGTAGGTCTTCAAAAAGAGAGCTGGGGTCCCCGCCGGTGCGCTGCAGGCGCAGCCTTTCGAGCTTTGGGCAGCGCCGCAGGAGTTCCAGGACCTGTTCGATCCCATCCTGGCGGAGAGCTTCGAGAGGTCTCTTTGGGTTCCTTCAAAAGGGAAGCCTAGAGGGTTCCTTTAAAAGGGGAAGCCTAAGGGGTTCCTTTAAAAAGGGGAACCTAAGGGGTTCCCTTAAAAGGGGAACCTAAAGGGGTGTTTTGGGGCTCCTTTACAGGCTAAGATCCCATCCTGCCAAGAGAAACTTCAAAGTGGCTTCAGGGTCTTGGGGTCGGGATTCGGGTCGAGGGTTTAGGGGATGTAAGGGGTAGGGACAGAGTTCAGGGCCCAGGGGATGAGGGACAGGGTTTGGGGGGTTTGGAGTTTTTGGGGCAGGGACTTGAAAGGGTTTAGGGTTCTCTCTCTCTCTCTCTCTCTCTCTCTATCGCTCTGATGACCTTGACGCCGGCCTGAGTCTTGCAGAGCTCCTTGTTGTCGTTCAGGTTCATGTACGTCAGCGGCAGGGTCAGGTCCTCTGAGGCACCGATCTCTCTCTTTCTCGCTTCTTGCGCAACAGGGCCACCCCCCCAAAACACCCCGGCTCCTTCTTCTTCAGGGGGGCTAAGATCTCCTTCCCTAAGATCTCCGGCGTGATTTGCATGAAGTTGACGTTCGCCTGCGAGGTCCGCGCCAGAATGGCAGCGAGCAGGTGCCACTTCTTGGCTTTGCCCGGGGCCACGGAGAGCTCCGCATCATCGCCTGGGTAGAGCCGAAGTGCGCCAAGAAAAGAAACATGAGTTCGAGTCATCGTGGCTCTTAGGGCGTGGCTGATGGGCCTCCGTGCCAGGGCTTCGATGATAGCCTCAGAGCCCTCCTGCGCCACAAGACCTTAGTAGAATGGAAGCTAAAACTAAGTTGAAACCTTCGTGTTACGTTGAGGGGATGTCCTGCCAGCTCCGGACGGTACGCATGTTTGCGAAGCTACACCCAAGAGGTGCGCCGCAAGAAGCCGCGGTCTCCTAAAGGCATCTTGCACGACCTGGCAGAAAACTAACCTGGACTTCCTGGTTTACACCTCCCGAAACCCTAAACCCTAAACCCTAAACCGTAGTTTGCTGTTGACAGTTGAGATGTGAACTTTCACTAGGCGCCCCGACGCTTGAAGACCGCTTCCTCGAGATCCTGCAAGCTTTGGCTTTGCTCTGCCTCCACCTGCCGCGGTCGCTTCCGGGCATCAGGCCCAGGGTTTCAGGGCTTCGGGTTCAGGGTTGAGGGTTCGGAGTTGAGGGTCAGCTTTGGGGCCAATGTAGGACCTTTTTGTTGATGGAAGGTCTTGGCTTGGGCCTCCTCGCAGAGAGCTGCCGCGGCGCCGCTGCGCAGCTCCTCGGAGCTCTCCTTTGGGTTCCGTACTGTACGGTCCTTTTTCCGGATAGAGGCTACTAGGGCTGCTAGGCTACAAGGCTCTGCAGTAGGGTCCCCTTACTGGGCAGGGTGCTGTTTCACAGCACATCTCAGATTCGGTGCTTTCCGACCTCGTCCAAAGCCACGCAGGCGAGGGCGGCCGAGCCCATGGCCTTGGGCCACCAGCCCAAAGCCACGCAGGCTCGCGCGCGGCTGATGTCCCGCAAGGAGGTGTTGACCCAGGCCAAGCCTCTCTCGGCCTCGCAGGCAAGTTCTCCAAGGATCCGACAAAATCTTCGAAAGGAGCGAGGGGTAACATTCGTTCGCCAGGGTGCGGTTCTTAGATTCTTGGTGTAATTAGGGATATCGCTCTCAGACAACACCAGATGCCCAAGCATGTTTAAACCAGCTGGAAAATTGTCGAAAGTGTGCCACCTGTCTCGAAAATCCGCTGTGAGACTTCGATCTCCGAGAGTCCCGTGTCCCCATGGCCAAAGTCCGTAGGCAGATCCAGACATGACTACTTGGACGTGGTTTCCGTAATCGTTCTGCTATCGTGTTCAGAGCCCTTCCAGGCCCTTCTGACCTCATTTTTCCTCTCTTGGGAGCCCGGAGCTCGGCCTCAGGATGCGTATCAACTGCACGGGGCAAGGACGGAGTGAGGCAAAGAGAGAGAGAGAGAGAGAGACAACAAACGGGCTTTTCGTTTTGGAAGTTCAGTATACCGGTTTACATGTCATACGGCAGAGTCCCCCACATACATCTGACCGTGCCGTTTTCCACGACCAGGCATTCAACTCATGCCACATGATTTCCGGAGACCTCCCGCAGCTAGCCCATTGCTCAAATGCTCCTCTGCTCATGCCGTAGGCCTCCATGCAGAGGACGAAAGGGCGCACCATGTAGATGGCAGCTACTTGTAGCCATGTCGTCAGAACACAGAGAAAAACCAGCAGCGAGGGAGCTTTCATGGTCAAAGAGACGGCTGTGCCGATGGTGGCCTGCGCGTTGCACTTCTCTACGCCCGGAAACCCTGAATGACCCTTAATACTTAACACCCCTAGACCCAAAACCCTCAAACCCTGAAACTTAAAGCCCCCAAGCCCCAAACGACAAAACCTGAGCCCGAAACCCAGCACACCCGAAACGGCTTTCTGAACCCTCCCCCTTTCCTGCGGGATCTGCTCGTAGAGGCCCTTCAACTGCTTCGCGTGGGACGTTGACTCAGCCATGAACACCAAGAGCTTCCGCAAGAGAGCCTGCCAGAACTCAAGCCGAAGGCCCTAAATCTGGAATTGATAGTTACAAAAAGTCGGGTTTAGGGTTTCATAAGGCCCGAAACTTGGAGAGGGCTTGGGTTTGTTATTGGGGGGGGGGGCTATTCAATCAAAGTCTACATGACTCGCAATCCCCTGCGCATGTGCTGTGTCTGCATTCTACGAACCTGTCCCTCCGCTTCTCTGTATGCGCAGCAGCTAAAACAGGGTGCCTTAAGAATTGAACTAGGGTTTTCGGGCTTCGAATTGGATGGACTATAGTGGGATAGCAGTACGAAGTGTTCAGACCCCCCATACTATGTTGGAGTAGTGATGCTTGAAGGCCATGCTGCACACAGGTGTAGAAACCGATTGCAGAGTTTCCTGTAGCCCTAAAACCCCTAAACCCAAGAACGCGGCTAAACCCAAGGATCGGTGGGACGTTTGGGAGAGATGGCGTAGGAAAACAATATTATATAGTATTAGATGATGTTCTATTCTGTTCTGGTCCATTATCTCATATTACATTACATAATCATGGATTACACTCGATTGAATTAGATTATGTTGCAATATGCTCTCTTTGACTATGTTCTATTCCATTCTATTCTGTTCTAGTCTATTCTAATCTCTTATAACAACTTATGCGGGATGATACGACCCGTTACTGTCTGATACGGTATTATTTGGTATAAGGTGGTACTATGTGACATCATGTCCATTGTATTCTAAACTTTTATGCTCTAGTAAACTATGTTATATGATATCGTCTTTTATCACATTACATTGTATCGTATTTTTGGATTATGCTACAGAATGTTGCATGATACTTCAATATGCTGTATGTATTGGCCAGGTCCATCCGACAACATCGAACCCTTGTCAGACACTCCACTCCGAGGTTTTCGCAAGAAACTGCTGGACAACAATCCTGGGCAGCGTCTGAATGCTCGACGTCTGCGGTCAGCGCGGGGCTGTCTGCGGGCGGGGCGTCATCCTGCTATGCAGAAGTGCGCAGAACCGCAGCTCATGAAAGCACCCTGAACCCTAAACCCTAAGCGCACTAAGCACCGAAGCATCCCTGCACTCCCAGGTGACAGCTGTCTCGGGTCCTCCGAGCTCTCGTTGCGGACTTCTACGTACATGCAGTTGGAGGACTCGGTCCGCCCATCCTCTCCCCGCAAGGATCGTAAGAGGTTCTTGTCCAGGGTATCCTCGCCACAAAAGCATCGCAAAGGTCCGCAATCATATACCATACAGCATACCACATAATTTGCAGTAAGTCGTAACTAACCCTGTACTATGACAAATGATAGCATACTGTAATATACGAGAACATACTACTACTACTCGAATATACTATCATATACTGCAACACTATTCACTATTCCATAATATACAATCATGCTCCGTCCTCGAGACATGGCGGCGGGCGCTCGCCTTCAGCCCAGAAGCAGTGTCGAACATCCAGGCAGTCTGCCCGGTCCCCGTACCTTGGCGGTGTTTGGGGGGTTTGGGGTTTAGTTAGGGTTTAGGGTACCCTGTGGACCGACAGACACCCAAGCAAAACAAAATCTCACTGCAGGACAAGGCCAGGGAGCGAGACCAGTGACGCCAGGAGCGTGCTGCAGATGATCCCAGATGCACCGAGGATCGTCCAGGTAGAGCCCACCTGCTATAACATGGTATTTTATCATCTTATGGTATATATTATATACCATATATATTATATTATATATTATATATGATATATTATATATGATATATTATATTATATTATATTATATTATATTGTATTGTATTGTATTATATTATATTATATTATATTATATTATATTGTATTATATTATATTATCTTATCTTATCTTATATTATATTATATTATATTATATTAGAATCGTACCCTGAGTCTACGGGTAATTATATCCAAATGGAACCCCAAACCCTAAACTCTAAACGCTAAAGCCCTAAAACCCTATAAAGCCCTAAAGCCCTAAAACCGAAAGCCCTACACCCCAAACTCTAAACTCTAAACCCTAAAGCCCTAAAACCCTAAAGTCCTAAAACCTGTACCTTTTGACCGAACTCTGGGTGGTCTTCGTCTGGAGGCGTGCATCCCGCAGAAAACCCAGCTTCGGGTTTAGGGCTTTAGGGCTTTAGGGTTCAGGGTTTAAGGCATAGTGCTTATAGGGTTTAGGGTTCAGGGTCTAGGGTCTGCAACCCCAAAGAAATAACTTCACGATGCGAAACGAAAACAT